TAGCTACATTAAACCAACGCCCAGGTGGCAAATATCCTGTGGGAATATCCTGGCCACACCTGCCGCTGCAATCAAAGGCAAAAGTCAACGCCCAGGCTTTTGACCCCGACTTTGGACTGACAACTTAATTGTGGTCCTTGGACAAACAAGTTCTATTTTTCGCGGCGAACTTTCAACGCGCCCAATCCCAATGACAACAGCATTAATAATTCAATTTCGTGACGGAAGCGGAAGCGGAAACGGAAGGGGAAGGGGAACTGCCAACGAAACTCGCTCCCACCAGCCCCGTTGTCTCAATATTTGGCAATTACTTGGCCTAAACCTGTGGCAGGTGCATAGCACAGCCCACGCCACTTGGCTGAAACCGATATCCCAGGCATAATCCGTTTAACCTCCATGTCAACTGGGTCTGCTATGACCCGACGGCAGACGCAATCTAAATTACCTCTCCCTCGGCTGGGATTGGGATTGGTCTTGGGATTGGGCTTGGGCTTGGGTCTGGGTTCACGTTCGGGCTTGGGCGCTCCAGGATGTGTCGTCACATCCTGTCACAGGGCCAAAGTGTCGTTTTAATAAGCGATTCGCAGCCTCACCTTTGTGTGTCTGTGCGCCGGCGATGGGATGGCCTTGTTTTCATTTTTGCTAATGGCCCACAAGTTGGCCATTGTAAATCCGACCTAAGACTTACGGCTCTCCATGCCGGTGATGATGTTCTCAGGCAAGGACATTAACCTGTGTGGCTGGGCGGGCGGTCGGGCGTAACTGCCTCCGTTGGGACACCCTCATAATGCATTCCGGCAAATGATCTTATTACGCTCCGGCTACAAAAGGATGTATGAATGGCCGGTGTTCCGCCTCAAAACTGCAAAATCTCAGCACTTAAGGAGTAGCTATCGAACATGTCGTGCCATAGCAAACTCTGTTAATGCCATTCCAAGAGCCCATACATGGGTATCTCACTTTCCATTAGATACTAAAGGCTGAACACACACAACTCAATCTGGGAGAACAAAGCCCAGGGGTGGATAACTACAAATGCGTTGGGCAATTTGTAAATGTAACTAACAGATACAAATCTGCTCGGAATGCGTGGCCGGAAAAGAAGAGCGCACATAATCAAAATTAAAATAAGAATCTCATCGCTCAGCCGCAGATACAGATACAGATACATTCCGGGAGATATGACACTGGTAGCAAACGACCCAAACAAATTACACATTTTCCTCCGCTTTATTGTCGGCAATTTATTCGCAGCTAAATTGAAATACACACCATTTACCTGCAGACAACAACGCACAGCCGCTGACTCCCGGTGACATTGACAAACTGGAGAAGCGAAATGGATGCGAAAGTGGGGGCAGTTGGGTTTAGTTATGGGAGCAGCCAGATCGTGACATCATCTCCTCCTTGGCTGGAAGTCACAGTTGGGGTCAAAGTTGCGATGGTGGATGTGGCGGCTTGACATCGTCCAAGCCCCCAGGAAAATTCCATTAAAAATATCAATTTCGATCATCTTGTTAATTAAACTGCGAAATAAAAACGCTCACTTCGGGGCTCCAAAAGGGCCGTAATCGAATACCCTTACAAATATTGTTTACAAGAAACAACTCGAATATTCTGAACCACTAAATTTATATTTAATGATGCATTTGCACATATTTCTTACCAAAACAAAGAAAATTTAGAGAAGCAATTAACAGCTGGTAAGAGCGTTTAACTCCTGGCCAAGTGGAGCGGCCACACGTGTCCTTGCCCACTATATCCTTGCCATATATATCCACCGACCAACTTCCAGGACAGGGCTCAATTGGCGTGCTGAATGAATGGGGCTGGCTCGGCAGAGTTTTTGATTTTAATTTAGATAAAGTGCGCTATGGAAATCAGTTGCGCTGCAACTTTCCCGTTTATCCGCACTCGAATCCGGGCACAGGCAACTAAACACTCCATAAATACAATAACAACAACCGCCGGAAAGTGGGCGGGGCAGCTTGGGGCGGTGGGCGGGGGGCGAGCTTAAGGTAAGCTGTAAATTGCACGCTTTCATGTAGATAATTAATCACCGGAGCTCCAGTTTCGTGGGTAGCGAAACTCTTCCATCGGCCATTGAAGATTTGCTTTTGCGGCGAATGCAAATGTAAATGTGAGTGTAAATGCAGTACCATGCGAATTTATTCCCGATCTTATCCGTACAATTTTAACCCGGGAACACAATGCCAGACCTGAAGCATTGTGTTGTCCGAGATTTATTGGCGGCGCCCTTTTCGGAGGCATTCGCGGAAGTCAAATCAATTATACGCCCTGTTGGCCGCTCGCTGCACGAGAGGAAATTGAAATTATTTGATATAAATTAATACAATTAACCATTCAGCTAAGCGAGTCGAGGCATTAGTGTTTTAATGGCACACAACAAGGTTCGACTGCCGGATCAGATACAAATGCTTGATTAAAACATTTATGGCAAAGTTGCCTTTTTCATTTGGTTATTTAGTTATTTGGGCAAAGGGGCCTGTTTAAGCCAGTCAGTTCGATTCAAATCTGCTCAAACATTGACAATTTAATTTATTTTTATGCAAGGAAAAGCGACTTAGAGTAGCAAATCAAATGGAATGCCCATTTATTTTAAATAAAATAAATTCATCGGGTGAAGTAAACACATTTATAAAGTATATACACTTCTCTCTAGTCTCTGGCTTTTGCTGAAAAACAATCAGCTCCAACCAGGAGGACGCAGGCACTCGAAACTCAATCGCCAGAGCAGCTGGGACTGGGATTGGAGCACTTGGACCTCCACATTTGGCATTGCAAGTGGGGAGATATTTAAATGTAACTCAATTTCGAACGCAATATGCGCTTCGGAACCACTTCGAGTCCTTGTGCCGTAATACATGATATTGTGATTTGATTTATTTATAAGTTCAATTTGTGCACATTATTTTTCCAATATTAAGCTTTGATGCGACTGCAGTCCACCAGGGGAATGCAAACGAAAATCAATTCAATTTGCAGTTGGCAAGCGCATAGTGAATGCCAAATGAAAATGACTCATACTCGTGACGATGGGTGCATAAATCCCATCAGCCAGCAGCCGCCATTTTCGAGGAAATGGAAACACGGGCAGGACTCTTTCACACATCGCAAAAAGTTGTGTCCTTTGCATTAGCAACCTCAAGTTCTTCTTGTCGGGCTGGAAAAGTTGCTGGAAAAATGCAGCAGACGACGAACAATTGCCGGCGAAAATAAAAGAAAGAGCGACTTTTCCTTTTTGCGAGCTGTTTCTTCAGTTGCTGCACATAATTACATGAAAAGAAAATTAGTGTCGAGATTCGCCTTGAGCGGCTCTCCAGGTGAAAACTTTTAATGAGCAATTTTCTCACAAATTCCCAAGTGTTGCCGCATTTAATTTTTTAATGAGAGAATTTCTTTCGGCCGCACAGAAAAATTGAAAGAGAGTGCAAAAATCCGGCGGCAAAGATTTCCATTTCCATTTCGACCACTTTCCCTTTGGGTTCTCAATCAGTTTCGGCCTCATTTAGGACTCGCATATTTCTTTGGCCTTTTGGACCGTTTTCGAAGTGCGTAATTGGGTGGTTAAGTGGGTGTGGATTTGGAAGTGGGCATGGGTGTGGGTGGCGGTGGTGGTGGTGCTCCATCTAGGTGTTTGTTTTTATTTATCGGCGGCATAGGGAGAGCGCCCTGACCCATGTTAATGGCCGATTGACACGCCACTTGGCCTTGATGGGGCTTTTAGCTCGGCTCGCACTTGACTGCTGCTCCCAAAAAAAAAAAAAAAAATGAAAGGGAGACTGCTGCTCCACACTTTCACAGGATTAATGGTGGGGGAAAGTGCTCGTTCTCGTTCTCGTCCAGGGCATTCCCACACTCGTCCAACGAGGTGCTAAGCGAGCGTGCTGATTGCTGCCATTTTTGATAAGAAGTCCGCATTAATAATGCCCTTGCGTTGGTTCCCACCGTTTTGTCCAGTTCGGTGATATATGGCTGCGACTCCACCAGCTACTTCACACCTAGCATGGGAGATAATTTAGGATGTCATATACAATTAGTCCTCAGCCATAAATAACAGCTCATAACTGGAATGACTGCCAGTGGGCCTCTGCAGAAAGCTGTCTGAAAATATCCTCAACCAGCAACTATAACCATCTGTAATTTCAAATGATGTCTATGATTTTTAAATCAAAGCCGAACTCCAAATTATTTTCGACAAATTGTCAAGCAAATTGAAAATTACAGAACGGACGTCTTTCTTCATTACGCTGAGTCAAAGGACCAAATAGAAGGATGGCCGACTATACGAACCTGTTCAGGCGCCACAAGGCAGTGATAATCCTTCCTGAGGAGCCCGCACTGCCACTCCCACTCCCACCACCACTCCCACTCCCACCCGCACCCACACCCGCACCCGCATCCCGGTGAAAGGATGCGTCCTGCTGGTCAAGTTTGCTGCCACATAAACAAGCAAATAAAGAGCCATTTGGTGTGCTTTCATATTCATAAATCTGCTGCCCGGCAAAATAGTTCGACTGGCCACGTCCATAAATCGACATTTCCCCAGAACCAAGTGACTTGTGGGAGGCTCCGGACCCGGCTAAATCAAGTGTCTGTTCGGTGTCAGTTTAATTGCAAACGTAAATTGGATGCATTTGCTACGTTTTCATTTGTTCGAAACTTGCTCAGCCCTCCTCCTCTCAGATGGAATCTGTGCAGCATGGCACCCCTGGCTGTTTCCATTGACTTTTGCTGCCATCCGTTCTGACGGACACTTCTGCCAGCTGCTCCAGAATCTCGACTCACAACTCGAATCTGCCCGGAATCTGCAAACGTTGCACAAATGCCAGTTTTGTTAATTGGACTCATTTTGGTAGCTGGCAGCTTGTGTATTTTAAATTGGCATTTGTGACATCTAGAAAAGTCGGACGGTTTTATTCAACATGCAACATGCAACGTGCAACGTGCTACCCTTCAGTCCGTTGCCCTTTGAGCACTCAAAATTCGTCCTCGTCCTCCACTCCACCATCTTCCTTCGCGTTTCTCTTTGCGACTAGGTCCCAGTCGTAAATCTGGTCATTGCTGTAGTTCAGGCGGCACAGCAAGGCCAAGAAGGAGCACCTGATCGTCCGGTATTTCGGTTCCTCCTCGAAGCTCAGTTTCCGGGTGTATTCAAGGCAGTTGTAGAACTCGCTTGGATAGCCTGCACAAAGGCTCATCAGCGACGTGGACAGCTTCATCTCGGTGATCATTTCGTGCTTCTGCTCCCTGCTTTTGGCCACGAGGTCTTGCCAGGGCAGTCTGCCTCGTAGCAGATACATGAGGACGTAGCCCACAGACTCCATGTCGTCCCGCCGGGACTGCTCGCCCCCGCACAGGGCATTGATGGAGGCGTAGCGAGCGGTGCCGGTCAGCCGGGTGCCATGCTTTTGGCGCACGTGCTTGTTCTCCGTCGTGTCCCAGTACCTCTTGGCCAGGCCGAAGTCGATGAGATGGAGAAGGTGGCTGCTGTTGCCGTAGCCCATCAGGAAGTTGTCCGGCTTGACGTCGCGGTGCAGGTAGCGTCGGTTGTGCAGGTACTCCATCCGCGCCACCATCTGCTCCCCCAGCATGAGCACCGTCTTCATGGAGAAGCGGCGATCGCACAACACGAACAGTTTCTCCAACGAGAGGCCCAGCAACTCCATCACCAGCACGTTGTGCCGCTTATTCGAGAGCAACTGGTAGGTCTTCGGGATTCCCGTTCCATGCCTGAGTAGATGGTACACCGCGTACTCGTTGGGCAAGTGCGAAGGGCCGACATCTCTGCGCTCCACCTTGAGGGCTACGTGGAAACCCGACCCCAGGTGCTTGGCCTCGTAGATGTCCCCAAAGGAGCCGGAGCCCAGCTTTTGGAGCACCACAAGGTTGTTTATGCGTAGCATGGTTTCCAGTTCGTAGTTCTCCATCTTTATATTCTCTACTCTCAAGGTTTTATACTCTCTACAAAAAAGACTAAATGATTTTATGGCAAAGCTTGTCTTCGCGCACACTGTTGCATCGGACAATGTTATCGATAAACATATATTTTCGGACTATCAAGCTATGGGGTATTCCACCATTTCCGTGCAAAAAATTGATCATGTTACCACATCTCTTTGTCTGAGGAATGTATGTCAAACCTATTTCACCTAACCAAAACCTAATCAAATCAAATCAAATAAAAATAAATAAATAGGAAGAGCCTTCGAAATGTCTGGGCAAAAAAATAATTGGCGCTTATCCAGTTCCCAAGTGTTTGAAAGATTGCAATCCGAGTACGAACCCAGAGTGAACCAACTGGAAAATGATGTTTACGAGTGCTGCCGAATTCTGAACAATGTAAAAAAAGCTGAAGATAGCGCAACTATATGGAAAAACCATAGGGAAATGGAAAAGTATGTATCCTGGGAGTTAGACATGCGAGATTTTCCCATGGAAAATATTTGCATTCAGCTGAAGGATAAACACGTTTTCGTTCGGGCCTATTATAAGAATCTGGACATCAATCGAGAAATTCTTATGCCCCAAAATGTGGATATCTCAAGAATTACGGCGATTCTGACACACCGCGGAATTCTTACCATATCAGCTCCAATTGTGGTACTGATATCAGACGACCAGAAGCTGTGGCTTTGAACTTTTATATTGCATTATATTCGATTTTGTATGTTATGTTATTCTAGGAAAAATTATATTTTATTAAAATTTTATTTTATTATCACAACTTTTGGGGCTATGGCTTACTGCAGGTATGCTGGGTGTGAAAGATGAAAGTTCTTTGAAGGGACCAATCCTTAGACGGAGTTCTGTGGCTTGGGGCAAGGTGTCCAGCACATCACAGACTCCGGTCTACGGAATAGATTGGGATTCAGATTCATGCTCGCCCTGGTCTGGCACATGCCACCGGGAGCACAGGGGAATATCACAATGTGTGGTGGAGTGGGTCGAAGGAAAGGCGCCTGACTCCTAATTTGCTGCTCGGCTCTGAAGCTCTGCAAGAGCTCTCGTTTCAGCTCCTCCACAATGCTTTTCGGGCTGAAGGATTCCTCCTCCAAATCGGTGAATAGCTTCGGACAACAAAGATCCCCTCGATTGCTCGATTTTGTACTATCCAGATCTCGCATAGCCGTGAATCTGTTTCCATATTCACTCTGGGGCTGGCTGGCATATGATGATTTGGGTTCGTCATCGGGATAGCAAACCAATTGCATATTCTTCGGCTTGTGGCTGGTTTCATCTACATGATTTCTTGGCGTGGAACCACTGGAGCATCTACTTGTGGTGGATTCTAAGCTTTGAGTTGATGTTTTGGGTGACAAGAACCATTTTCCAAATTGCTTGGGATTTGTCATCTGCATCGGTGGTCCTGGGAAACTTCTGGGACTTTGGCGCGGCCAACTACTAGTTTTTCTTGGGATTACCTCACATTTCCAATCTTCGCCAAATTGAAAATTGTGGCTCTGGGATCTGTGGCATTCACTTCTGTCTTCGTTCTTCCTGTCCTCATTTTCCCCAGTGCAAAGTGATTTCGTACTGCTACCAGAACTGCACATTGTACCACTAAGTGAACTTTGCGAACTATTGGTTTTCAGGACTACCCTCTTGGGCACTGATTTTTCGAGGTTGTTATCCACCCTTTTTAGGCTCGACCTTTTGGTTATATCGCTTTGAAACAAGGTCGGTGGTCTGGAACACAATTCAATAGTGCGTGAAGGTCTTGGAGAATTTGTTTCTAATATATCAGGGGTCCAGCAATGGCCTGGTTGTGGTTTAGGATTATAGGACTTCGACTGACTGGTTAGGCTCCATCTGGAGACGCGGCGATGACGAGGACGAAGTTGCTCCGAAGAACTGCCAATACTTTCGGACATTTCGGGTGGCTTTGAACTCGCCTCAATGCTCTTCCTTTTGCAGAAATGCTCTTGAGAAGTCCTGGCGGCTGGAACTCTTGAAGAACTGCCTTCGGAGCTGTTTTGGGTAGAGGAACAACTTTTGTGGCCAAAGTGCGAGGGGGAAAACCTGACATTTCTGAATTGGTTTTCCCCACTAGCACTTTCACAAATTGTGCTTCCACTACTTTGTCTCAATGCAGAAAGATTGGCTGGCCTTGAAAGCGTTACTTTAGATGCACCATTATTGGTTTTATAGGATACGCCGCGATCCCCAACGATTTTTGATGATACTATCCTCGGACTGCCCGTCAAACTCACGTCAGTGGCCCGAATCGTAAGGCAGACGTTAATTTCACTTGTCCCGTTGGGATCTCCACTTTTTCTCTCACTGTGAAGACTGCAATTGCCACTGGACACGCGATCGAATTCCTTGTAGGAATTCTTTGTAGGCAAATCAGCTGTAGGTCTGAAATATTGACTGGTTCGTTTACTTAATCCCCGATCGAAGTGGTCATAGTCATCGTTATTTACCTTCGATCGTTGGTTGGTTGAGCTCAGTACATTGAACATGGAGTACTGGTGAAAGATCTCGTTGTTATTTTCCGGCAACTGATTGTTGGTTCCCCTGTAAACAGTGGGATAATGGCATTCCTTCCCCTTTTTAAAGCCATATCTTTGGGGATCAGTGTCCTGAGACGGAACTCCCACATTTTCGGACCCCAAGGAGTGATCACTTTCTACGGAGGAGTTCAGTATGTAATTGGGGCTCTGATTAGTTATTTGAGCACAGTTCAGGTTTTGCGCAACTGGCTTCTTCAGCACATTAGATTTGTTTCTAAAAATGTTCGATTTCGACAAGCACAATTTTGACCTTTTGAAAAATCCAGATATTTTCTGCTTCATTGTCTTTCGCTTCCGATGTTTCCCAACATCATAAAGAGATGTTTGTGGCCTAAATGACTTATCTTCAAAATTGTCACAACCCGAATGTGATCTTTTGGGTATGTATTCCCCTTTTCGGTGCTTCTTTTTATACGGAATCTCGATGGTAAAAAATAGCGACGATGGGGATTGACCGCTCTCACGAATTCTGTGCGGAATTTCTGAGCCATCGTTTAAGTCCGTGAAGCGAACAAAGTCAACCGACTTTTTTCTATCTGGTGAAGCTTTATGACTACGAGTTTTATAACTATCGTATTCCCCGTGCTGTCCAAAAGATTCAGTTCTTAAGCTTCTATGCGGCTTACGTATTTCATCAATAAATTTTTTCGGGCGATATCTGTGAGGTAGTTCTTCTTTAAATATTTTTTTGTGAGTGCTAGATAAAGAACGTTCTGCGTAGCTGGGCAGCTTGTATCTATTAGAATTCCCTTCTATATTAAATACATCTTCTTTCCCTCTACTTTCATACTTTTTGGGCTGAGCAAGATATTTTGATATTTTTTCGTAATTTATTGGTTCTTCTCTGCTCTCTCCAAAATGATTGAAACCTTTTCTACGAAGAGTTTCTTCTGGCTGCTTATTTCGTTTACTTCTCTTAGACTTCACATGACGAATTTCGGCTTCTTCAAAGGGCGATACCTTGACCTCATTGACTTTAGATTCCCTTTCAGGCTTACAAATTCTGGTTGGATAGGACTGGGAATGTCCTTTAGCGTAATTTTTGTAGTACTTAGGTTGAGGTTTCGGAAATTGTATCGGATGTGCTTTACTGGTTTCTTTGTAATCTGTGTATTCGTAGTCATGGAAATCTTCATATGGATTTTGGTAAGCTTCAGCCCGTGGTTCCTCATAATACTCTCTGTTACTTTGGTAATCTTCAGGGGATCCATCATAGTCATTATCACTCCTGTATTCCGTGGAGTCGTGTGGGTAATAATTGGAGGCATAGTTGGGAGGCAAAGATCCCGATGCCTGCCTATAGTTCTGTTTCATCCTATAAGAGCTGGATCTTAACTGACGGGGTACAGTTCCTCTGAAATCTCGATGGTAATCATCTTGAGTTGGGTGTTCGGGGTAGGGTTGGCGATAGTACCTTTCAGATTCTCTGTGGTGTCTTTTGGATAATCTTCGGCCATTAGGGTAGTAGTCATCCGCGTATTGTCTGTTTATTCTTGGCTCTTCCTTTTCTTTAAAATAGTGAGAGGTTGGGACGACTCGATGGGGTTCATCCTCTTTGATTTCATAGGGTCCATCTGGGTAATAGTTATCATACGTTTTCTCGGTCCCAACGTCTGGAAAGTGGATCCTTTTACTCTCATAGTAACCCGCAGAATCGGCCGATGGAGATGGGGAAACTAAGCCCATTTCGGCTTGACTTCGTCCTGGATTAATTGGTCTATAATGAAAGTGACGACGTCTGTCGGAATAGGCAAAGTTATCTCTTCGCCGGCCAGGAGTTCGAGGCGAATAAGTTCCATGTTCAAAATCAGCATGTCCGTTAGTATAGTATTTATTGGGTGCCCCAAATGACATCGCACTCTCCGTAATTGGATTGGTCAATCCTCCACCGGGAGCTCGTCCTAGATTTGCGTTTATATTCTGGTTAGTGGACATTTGGCAAATGTTGTTAATCAACTCACGCTTTCCATTGCAAACGGAGGTCCTTGGCGGTGTAATCTGGTTTTGTTGGTCACGGCACACTCCGCCCAAAATATCGACATTGAAAAACATTAATGTACGTTTCCATTCATCCGCGTCCTTGGAGCTCTCCAATCGGATTAAGCTCTGATTCGTCACCGTAAATGACATTTTCAACAGCCACGGAACTCATGCTCCCCAGAGTCGTCATCAAATTGAACTGCAAATTTAACTCATACCGACTGTTTGTTTACGAGTATGTCACTGTGTCCGATTTTTTGATACTCTTTTCAAATGCGTAGGCAACTTAACATTAACAATTCTTGTAAGATCGGAAGATCTTGAAATCTAGATAAACACAGAGTCCTGCGGACCATTATATCCCAACAAATGCCATTAACTTTCGTTTCCTTCGCTGTTTGCAGCTTCCGCATTTAAATTTAGTATGAATGCCTGAAATGGCAAACACAAAGGATGTGCGAATCGGGATGGAAATCTGAATGAGGATGGAATGGTCGTCATTACTTGAAGGGTGCTAGAAAATATGTTTTTAATTGCGGAAATATTTCCATTTCACAAATAGATGCGATAATTATTCAGAATGGCGCGAATTTCCATCGCATTAAAAGTGCAGACAATGGGGGATAGTAAAATGCAGCTAGCGGATAATGAAAATCGTGTTCAAGTGCGGAAATGCTGAAAATTATTTCAATGAAACACAACTAAGTGCTTTTTAAGTGCCCCCAACGGTGGCACAAACCGAACGGAAATGGACGCAGACGAGAATTGGTTGGGTGTTTGGTCGAGGGGAGGGGGTTTTGGTGACAGGACACGCAGGACCCTTGCGTTCCCCGAACTTTATAAAGTGCACTGAAAGCGACAAATGCGTGGTCTAATATGGGAGGAAAGCAAGTGACTTATTACTTATGTTCTGCTAACTGATTGTTTTCCTCTCTTTATAAACAGAAGTTGCTAAGAAGGCTTTCGAAACCAGACGAAAAGTGACTGAACATACATTTAAAATCATTTAAAATGGAAACAATTTTGGGTGTGAAAGGAAATGATTTCGTCATTCTGGCCTCGGATACCATGAATGCCAAGTCGGTCATGTGGCTGGATGACGGTGAGTAGGCATATTTGGAAGACTAAAATTTGCAATTATTATATTATAAATAACTGTAGAGAAAGCCAAGACCCACCGCATCACGGACAACTGCATGATGTCAACCATTGGCGACTGCGGAGACTGCCTGCAATTCTCGGACTTCATCCTCCGGAACATGGATCTTTACAAGGTGACCAACGGATACGACTTGACAGTTCGCGGAGCGGTGCACTTCATCCGGAGCAATTTGTCCGCCTATCTGAGGTCCAACATGAAGTACCAGGTGGCGTTGTTGGTGGGCGGATTCGATTTGAACACCGGTCCCGAGTTGCACTACATCGATCAGTACGGAAACTCGATTCCCATCCGTTACGGTGGCCACGGAGCCGGCATCAACTTCTGCACTCCCATTTTCGAGGAGTTCTACAGGACGCACATGAATACGCAGGCAGCCTATGATGTTATCAAAAAGTGTGTGATTGAGTTGTATAAGCGATTCGTTATCAACTTGCGCAACTTCGATGTGTTCCTGATAGGCAAAGAGGGCATAACCAAGATGGCTCCCATGAACCAGGAGTCCCTTAGAGCGGATATCTTAGCTGGTCCCAAGCGAAGGACATTAAACACAAAGTAGTCATCGAAATCCTTTATATTTTTGTAGCCTTTCAGCGATTCATAAAATTTGAATAAAAATAATTGTATATATTGAATGAGACCTAAGGGTGTGCTTTTTCCCAAGTTTTGGCTATACCTTCGAGTCCTTGATAGAGTTACCTTCCACCCCTCGATAATGATTTAATTTGCGAGCTAATAACCCCTGGCTAATAGCGCAACTGACACAGATAGGTGATATAAATGGTCGAGCGCCTTTCGAAAGTGAGTCAGTGAAAGAAAGACACCAGGAACTCAAAATGCAGTCGAGCGAAACACTGAAATACGACTATTTTCGACTCCAGTTGAATGCCTGGCGAATTTGTGGAGCCTTGGATCTCAGCGAGGGCAGATACTGGAGTTGGTCGGTGCTTTTGTGCATCTTGGTGTACTTGCCAGCACCCATGCTTCTAAAAGGAGTGTACAGTTTCGAGGATCCGGTGGAAAATAATTTCAGCTTGAGCCTGACGGTTACTTCGCTGTCCAATATCATGAAGCTCTCCATGTACGTGGCCCAACTAACCAAGCTGGTCGAGGCCCAGAGCCTCATTGGCCAACTGGATGCTCGGGTTTCCGGCGAGAATCAGTCTGTGCGCCATAGAGAGATGACCGCGCACCTGCACAGGATGTCCAAGCTGTTCCAGATCACATATGCCTTAGTGTTTATCTTCGCTGCAGTTCCCTTCGCTTTCAAATCAGAGCTTAGCTTGCCCATGCCCATGTGGATTCCCTTCGACTGGAAGAACTCGATGGTGGCCTACATCGGAGTTCTGGTTTTACAGGAGATTGGCTTTTTCTTTCAAATTATGCAGTGCTTTGCATCTGACTCGTTTCCACCCCTGATACTCTACCTGATCTCCGAGCAATGCCAATTGCTGATCCTAAGAATCTCTGAAATCGGATATGGTTCCAAGACTCTGGAGGAGAACGAACAGGAGCTGATCAACTGCATCAGGGATCAAAACGCGCTGTACAGGTAATACTCATATGTACATATATCTATGTATCCAGCTATGATACTTTCGCTTTCTGCAGACTACTGGACGTGACCAAGAGCCTTATTTCGTATCCCATGATGGTGCAGTTTATGGTTATTGGCATCAATATCGCCATCACCTTGTTTATACTCATATTTTATGTGGAGACCTTGTACGATCGCATTTATTACCTTTGCTTTCTGCTGGGCATCACCGTGCAGACATTCCCACTGTGCTACTATGGAACCATGGTGCAGGAGAGTTTTGCAGAGCTCCACTATGCGGTGTTCTGCAGCAACTGGGTGGATCAGAGTGCCAGCTATCGTGGACACATGCTCATCCTGGCAGAGCGCACGAAGCGGACGCAGCTTCTCCTTGCCGGCAACCTAGTGCCCATCCATCTGAGCACCTACGTGGCCTGCTGCAAGGGAGCCTACTCCTTCTTCACCCTGATGGCCGACCGAGATGGCCTGGGTTCTTAGTAGCCTAGTGATTTCACTCACATACAATCAGAACACGAACACGAATCACATATTTCAAAAATAAACACACGATTTTCACGTAGTGTATCACTTGGATAAAATTTGTTGTTACCATGGCGATGGAAACTATTTTGGGTATCAAGGGCCCCGACTTTGTGATGCTTGCATCGGATACAATGCAGGCCAAGTCGCTGGTGTTCATGAAAGATGGTAACACCCGCTTTTTGTATTTCTGACACTAAAAACCTACCAAAGAGATCAACCAACTTTTAGACCAATCGAAAATCCACCGACTATCGGACTTCAACATGATGGCCACGGTAGGCGATGGTGGCGATACCATTCAGTTCACGGACTACATATCCAAGAACTTACATCTGTACAAGATTTCCCACGGATACCACCTGAGTGCCAAGTCAGCGGCCCATTTTACCAGGAAGACACTGGCGGATTACATAAGGACCAACACCAGGTACCAGGTGGCAATGCTGCTGGCAGGATACGACGGTGTTGAGGGTCCTGACCTCCACTACATCGACTCCTATGGCGCAGCTCAGCCAATCAATCATGCAGGTCATGGTTGGGGCAGCATGTTCTGTGGCAGCATTCTGCAGAGATACTGGAACTCGAGGCTCACTCAAGCGGATGCCTACTCTCTGATGAAGAAGTGCGTCCTGGAGATCCAGAGGCGACTGATCATCAACCAGCGGAACTTTGATGTGTATGTGGTGGACAGCAAGGGAATGCGCAAGATGGAGGCCATCAACCCAGGATCCCTGAACAAGGAGTCTATTAGCCTGAGTTGGTAAAACGGAAAACATTAAAGCCGTAGTCGGTCTAACTCCTCCGACATCCTCTAATGCCTAATAATTGTGCAGTTGGTTTTTGGCAAACTTTCTGTGCGATGCTCGAACAACTTCCAAGGGATTAGTTGACGTGACCGGTTGGATTTGAGTGGCCAGTAGGATACGGAGGAGGTGGGTGACTGGGTGAGTGGGTATGCTACATGCCATGGTTGACTGCCTCCGTGTATTAGCATATGTGGCCTGCTCTTGTTCTCCATGTGAGCCATCTGTCTGAATGTGTGTGGCACTGTATTTGTTTGCGCAACAATGACAGAAGCTGCACTCAAAAAAAAGAATACGTCGTTCGTACACAAATAAGCTTTATCTGTTGCATAGGCACTAGGCCATGCCCCAGTTAGCTGGTACCGTTTGCCGGCAAAAGCTCGTCAGATGTGGGTGTGAAAAAGAAATATTAAAAAATACGTGTATTTCATGATTTCTCCAAGTGCTTGCCTCACATGCAGCAAACGTATACGGCTGCGAATCGGAAGCAGAAAAGCCAACATGTCTCTATTTCCCATTTGAACAGCAGTCCGTCAGAACGTCGTTGGTTTGGAGGAGTGAGGGGAGTCGCCAGCAAAACTCATAAAAATGAGCACAGATTGCTGCAAAAATGCACTGAATTGTTCGCTGCTTGCCAGAGGTTTGAGTGGAGGGTTTTCCGAGCTGTGCTGCCTGCATTTTCCCGGATTTCTATGCTAGTCAGCGGGTTTTGTTTGTCCGCCAGCGTGGCAGTTGCCATTGCTAATTGGCCGCACATGACAAAGTATCGCCAATTGAGTGGATCGCCCACTTGCGGTGATCGGAACCATGAAATGTCCACAGTGACAAAGAAAAGGTACCTCAAAGGTACCAGTTTCCATGTGGCATCCAACTGGCTCTGCAACTATGAATTTGTATCTAAACTACAATTTAAATTTCTCGATTTCGAATGCATGCTGTCCATGCAGAGCAGCCAATTTAAATGTTAGTTTTAATTACATTTTTTTGGCACAGCACGTAAAACGCATGTCATTAGAAATTAATCAGCAATTTACGTTAAAAAACGGGTTGAATAACACTAATCTATCTCGTCATGCAGTTTCTACTTTATTTATGCGAAAATTAATGTAAAGAATCGAATATCAATTATTTTCATGGCTTCCTTTTCGTTTCACTTTAAGTTACGCTGTCGCACAGAGAACTTTTCCGCAGAAAACTTTTGACATGTGAGCGTCTCAAATGAACGCGCCTGTCTCAGGACACCTGTCCCCCCTTTTTTTCCACCTGAAGCTGTGAAATATATTCACAGTGTTCGAGGGGAGCAACTTGGGAGGCAGTGGGAGATAATGTGCATGTAACCCCCAGTCACTCCCCCATGGGCGAAGCCCCACCATCCGACCATCCATTCCGACCGGCAATTTGTGACGTTTAAGGGCGCAACGAGGCAGCGACTTCCTGACAGGACATTAACTTTCTCGCATCTTCGCAGTCGTGGCTCCATCCGACTGTCTCGCTGTTTTCTGTATTCTGTTTGCTGTTTGCGTGTGACGACTCTGATGATGATTCATGATGATGATCCTTGCAGTTTTCCTCGCTGTCATTTTTCATGGCCTCGGGAGCAGTGGCTTGGGTTAGTTGCCTTTTTCGGCAGCCTATTAGTTTTTATTATTTGCTGCAATTAGTTTTTCGGCCTCGGCTGCTCAGCTCCGCTCTCTTATGACATTTTCTTCACATTTTTCAACGGAACGAGCGTCATCTGTTGCCGCAGGCCATGTTCTGTAGTGTGCACGCAAAAAAAAGACGGGCTATTACTTCAAAGCTAACAAAGAACGTTCAAAATATGCTAACAATTTTTGTACGCTTGAAGGATCATTGAATAAAGGTAGAGGTGCCTTAGCTACTAAGGGCAGGCTAACTTTTAACACAATTTTTCTCCAAGTGCAGTTTCTGAATCTGCTGTTTTTCTCGCTGTCATTGACAAGAGGCAAACAATGGCCCGCTGGCTGGCTGGTTGGTATCTATGATAAATTATGGCCAAAAGTCAAAGTCATCAATCAGTGGGCCATGTTTTATTTGCCGCCCGCGGCCGTTTGCCATTTGTTTCGGGCCAAAACCAGAGGCATATGCACCAACCAGCGGATGGGGGATATACGGAAGGAGAAGGACGTGGAGCAGAAGTGGAGCGGCCAAAAAAGGATTAAATATAAATCGCAGACGCGTAGACGGCGGTGGCACAGGTGTCGGTGGCCGGACGACAAGCATTTCGATTTAATTTTCATTAAAATTCAGGCATTTAATATGCAAAGGGTAAACTGCGGCAACAAAGTCCTTCTGCAAAGTCCCTCCCGTCCAAAAGCCCATTAAAATTCCTTAAAGACTCTGCCGCCGGGGCCAGGTGACTCCTTTTCATTCTCGAGTGCTTATTAAAATTGCAAAGGTCCAGGATTTGCGGACATTATGATGCGGTGGCTGCGAATTTATGCCGAAACGGTCGACATCAGCTGCGTTTTCGTTCCTCGCCTGTTTAATTATGCATTTTTATCTGGAAGTCGTTGTGGCAAAGGCCAAGCCGTTCTGGTACAAAAAGGTAAACCGCTACTGGTTTTTGCCACTAGAGTTATGAAAATTGCAAATATACGGCATAAGCCAGGAATAACTGAAGGCTGGAGCGTGAATAAGCCGTTTACTTCATCCGAGTGACAGATATCCGGCAACGTTGCGTATACGCAACTTCTGATTGAAAGCAGCACTGCCACGTGCTCGTGTATCGATTTGCTGCCTCCTGAAGTTGGATATTGATGTCGTCACCAGGAGCATCGCTCGTGAGTCCTGACAATTGACAACTAGAGTTGCAATTAGGAGCTATGGCAAGCCTTTCTAGCATTTTTCCAACCACCGTATCCTCAGGATTACGCAATAAAAGGGACTTTACATACACGCATTTGCTCGGATGGAGGTTTTAGTTATGCAGGGGAATGCCTTGGGGAAATTAACGAAAAAGGTAAATGTTTACGGAAACATTCGTTTGAAAAGCTTGTCTCCGCACGCTGTTTATAGCACCCAGTTACATCATTAAGAAAACCCTTCGAGAAACTTTGTAAAAAGCAAAAGCGGGTTTTTTAAAACGTTTGATTTGTTTTTACAGCATTTTTCAGTAAAAAAAGTAAAGTGGAATAGTTTTTAAGGCTGCCTCTACTGATTGATCTCTGAGTGGCCTACGAAGATTCTATTCCCAAGGGATTACAAATTACAACATGCATTCAGTCGCCGATAAACGGCCTATAAATCAGCCAGTTGGCCAGCGATCGCGTCAATATTCGGCTCTTATGCAACCAATTTTATTTCGCTGCACTCGACGGGCATAAATCACGGCTCCTGATGGCCGAAGCGGCGGGAAATTGGGTGAGGAGATGCCGTTTCTGCAGCAAAATGTGCCCGGAATTAAACACCAGCGATGGCATAATTTATGGGAACGCCGGATTCCGGGCTCGCGATGTCCGGAGACAGATGTGACATCAGCAATGACCATCGGGACATTAATACGACCCTCCAGGCGAGAGTTCGCCGATGCAAATGGATTGCCAACTGGAGACTGTGCCATCTTGAACAACTCAGCAGGAGGCTTACTATGCGAGCCTAGTTTTAGATACTCTTCTTAATTGGTTGTGAAATACAACCAATAAAAAATATTAACCTGCCAGGATAAACATGGTAAAATATTTTCCCACCACAGTCAGTATATCCTCTGCGACAGTTGTAAGCCAACATGTTCGAGCGGCCATTGTTCGGCGAAAAAGTTGCTGTGTGTCCCTGTGATGGAGTCCCTTTCCTGTTTCCAATGCAGGAACATCCTTGTTGATAATCCTTTTGCCTGGCCACTGCCACGCACTGCAGTCGAGGGAAAGAGGGAAAAATTCAGTGGGGCGGCGTATAAAAAGTTGCAGTTAAACTTTTCAGCATTTGTCAGAGTCAGAGGATTTGTTTGCCTTTGGGGCTGGCCAAAGCCAACATCCTGCCAGCATTCCGAAGCCTGCTCCTGCGAAGGAGAGCTGCCCCCATCGTTTCTTTTTCTTGTGTGTGAGTGAGTGTGTTTGTTTATTTTGCCTGTTCGTCCCACTATTTGTTTTCTTTCCAATTTTGTAATTTCAAACTTTTTCTATTGATTTCTTGGCACGCATGAACACCTCCAGCAGCAACGACAGCCAGCCAAGTTGCCAAGTTTCCTCGAGGGTGGGGATTCAATTTAAGTTGCGGGGACTCCCCCATGATGACCATGCGTGGCAGCAGTGCACACACAGGAAAGGAAAGGAGTCCATAAAAATAGTGAAAGAAACGAGGAATAAGAAAACCGAGCGGCAGTGGGAAAAGTTTCCAATGCACTTAACACTCTGTTCGGAAGGATGGAATATCGAGGAAAAACTGTCAGTGGCATTGGCAACACATTTATTAATGTGTCAATCGGATTGAAGACTTTCCAAGCCAACGGGAAGCGATAAAGTTTTTAGACAGAAAGAGATCCGTGGCTTGGATTACGTTTGCTGTTGTGACAAATTATAAAAAAAATAAAACTATTGGTCAGTTTTTCGTTTGGGATTGCAAAAGAAATACACTTCCTTTCGTTGCTTTGTAAGTGGGAAAAATCTTGATAATGCTTGGAACACTGTAACTTTCAGAACAAAAGGTTAAAGCTCATTTTTATCTGATACCTGGGCAGTTTTAATCAATTCTCCGACGAAAATGGAAACATTAGGAGCCACAAAATGATTACATGACCCGTCCCCAATCCCGAATCCCAGACCTGAAACCCATTCCCATTGCCATTTCCCCATTCAATTGCCGGTCGCAAAGGAATTGTAATTATTCGAATTGTTACTCGTCGCTTGCCTAATGACTATTAGCTAAATGAAAACATTGCGTGCCGGCGACATTTTATTCGAGTGCACCACCGCCAACTGCCCCCAAAAACCGATCCAAAGCCACCCGACCCACCGCGAGCTTTATTTGCTATATTTCATGCCTGCCTGCACTTATCTCCGATTGTCCGGCGGGTGGCATTTGGGGGTCTGAAACCAGCGACTCTCCGGTTGTAATGTAATTTGGCTTGGCCGGCGCTTCGATTCCACTTTATGTTCTAATTACTTGCACAACACAAAAACGCCACTTCAATTTGAATTAGAATGAGTGGGCACCGCCGGCTGCGGAGCAGGATACGCCCCCCATTTCGCCCCCATTTTGGCCCCATCCCGATAACGGTTAAACCTTCATCCTGGCCACAGTTGGCGCCACAACTTTTAATTACAGCGGCGCAAAATTGCAGATGCACTGCCGCGGTCTGGTCCCTAGGCCCCACTTTCAGCTCCATTTCGATTCGCATTCGTATTCGTAGTCCTGTTCCCGCTCCAAGTCCCCAAAACTGAAGGCCCCAAAGCACTGGCCGTGGCAATGGCAAATCCAAAAAGCATATTAATTGCGCACTGCGTAGGCGTCGCCTGTAATGGTCTATAATCGATTTAAGCACGGGCATTATGTGGGCTAGGGTCTAAATTGCAATTTCATGTATGACAAATGGGCTATCGGAATACTGGCTGGGTACACTTGAAAATATTGGGCTGGAAAATAAAAATATGCGGCAATATAGTTATTTATCTTTTGACTGCATACCCTTGAACACCTTATGTTTAATGATTTATATGCCTGAGGGCGGCGTTTTTAGATTTTAGGCATGAACATAGTTAATTAAACTGCATTTTCGAAATGGGCTGTGCGTAGCCAATGAAATTTAAATCAACTTAGCTCAGTAGCTACTTTTGCCATGTTCGCTGCAGTAACGAAAACCCAATCGATATTCACCCATTGGTCCACCATCTTGGCTGTATATCCTTGTTTATTTGGTTATCTATCATGAAGTTTCCTTCCAATTAGAAGCTGTGGCGCGTGGCAATTGACCATCAAAATCAGTCCGACTGCAAAGACAGTGGCTCCCAATCTGCATGCTTGATGGGTTGAAGGGTTGACGGGTTGATGGGTTGACGGGTTGATGGGTTGACGGGTTGAGGGGTGACTGGCTAGTGGTTACCTCTGATATATGGAGTAAACCACCCAGGGCTCGTTATTGTTGCCGCTGGCTTCGCCGTCAATTGCAGCTGGCGATGGTGGCTGCACCACAAAATTCAACGCAATTTGTAAAATGAAATCGATTCAATTGATTGTTGACTTCGGCAAACACACATCCACACCCACACCCACCCACACCCACATCTCTGTTCCCCGGATTGTATAACCCGCACAGGCAGGTCGACAGGACCATCGTAGTGCAGGAGACGATGGTGACAGGTGTCTGGGAGGGTGGACGTGTTCATATCCTTGTCGTCCTGCCGTCTGTACGTGTGCACACATATACACATATACAATTGTATATATGTACGGCACACAGTAAGCTCACGCGTGTGTGTGCACTGCACTTTGCTTGATTAAATTTCAATATTTACTAAAATGTCGCCGAACTCTTTCTGACAGCTCTGTAAATTTCATAACCGGAATCGACATAAAATATGGTCAACTGGGTGTAAATATAAGCTGGACAAGCGCATAAGTTGACTGAAATGCCACGCTTTTTTCCATCCAGCGCCTTTTGTTGCTGGTAATTTGTTATAGTTTGTCATGTGCTTAAAGCAACAAATGGGTTATAATGGGTTATATCCATCTAGATTTCATGGCTAACTGATATACGGACTTTGTGAGCGCATCAGATGGCCAAAGCAATTACTCAGCGGAGTGAAAGACAGGATTAACGTTTTGCTTTTGCCAATCAGAGTGATTCATTTGCATTCATAACTTCGAATTAAAAAATAAATTAAGACATATTTCATCTGCTATTATTTATACTGATACTGATTGATTAATATCAAGCGATTTAGACCTTCTTGTTACTTTCTAGGGGACAATGTTTTCTAATTTTTTTTAGTTCGATCTCGTTTTGCTTTTCCTTTCAGATTGATTTATTTGCAATCATTATTTCGAATAACAAATAAACAAAGAAAGTCATTCCTAATGGATTCGTTGATCAGAAGGTTCAAGGCCCTACACCACGTGGATGATTTTGAGTGGGTCCGTGTAGGCTTATCCATTAATTATTTGTTAACGTGCCTTTTACAGAAATGACGCTAGATATGACGGGCTTAAGATTAAGGAGCCGGCAGCTAAAATATCCAGCCTGGATAAGCTTTTTGAAGAACTCAACATAAATGAGGGCAGTTCTGCATTAGAAGACTGGGTCAGCAAACCTATAGAGGCGGAGAACAGCGAAACCAACAGCTACCTATATAAGGATTACTTTAACAAGAGTCCCAACGATTTTCCGTGGGAAAAGGCCTTTGAGAAGGGCAGTTCAATGGGACCGGACTTTTATATTGACTATGAGAACATCTTCGAGAATGTGGCCAACCTTGCCGAAGTGGAGCAGAAACTGGAGTTGCTCTATAGACCATTCACCTGTGTAATGGATGTCAACTGCCATTTCAATATGTACGAGCTATGCCTGTCAATGGCCGAGTCCCGATTCGATCCGGGTAGTCATCCATCCGTGGTCGTGAAGATCACCCATCCCAATGCCCAGGTGAAGATCCATGCGGGGGGAAAGATTTCCTCCACCGCTTTGAGTGCCAATTCAGCCAGGAGTGCTCTCTTCAAGGTGATCAGGATCCTGCAGGATCTAGACTACAAGGTGGAAATCAATAACTTTGCCAAGAACATCGTGAATGCCTCCTTTAGCATGCCGTTCAAACTCGATCTGGAACTGATGAGACGCCGCCATGTGGTCGAGGTGGCCCAAAACAGAAGCCGGCGACCCTTCACCACTTACACCACCGAAAATTTGGGCGTGAGATTTGCCGTCTTTCCCACTGGATTCGTTTTGGTCCTACACTCCACCAGTCACTTCGAGACACGTGAGGCTATAGCCAACTTCCTGCCGATCCTGGCCAGACTCAAGAACGGATATCCCACGGCAGAGGAGAAAGTGGGACAACTGGTGGGGGATCTTTCCTACAAGTTGTTGTGGGAGAAGCGATTGGAGGAGGACAAGGAGGGCCTACTGCTCTACTCCTAAAACAATAATATTACGTTAAAATTCGTGCCTAGCATTTTTGCAAGAATATTGAAATCAAAATCCACTGAAACTTGGATGTCATAATTTACTTTTAATCGAAATGTAGATTGCCAGTTACCGCATATCCTGTTATCGCTTTGTTTCGTCCTGCGAAGTGCTGCGAACATTTGTCATAAACCAAAGTTCTGCACGTGCCCTGTTTACACTCGCCAGCAAAGTTGGGCAACTTGTTTAAATACGTGATTTATTCGCCCGCCAGCTGCTGAGCGACCACCGAACAACCAGTGACACTCCACTCGGGCCAACCACCAGCACCATTTGCTGGATGGTAGATGGTATAGGGTACATGTATATAGGGACTCGGGGGTAGGCCCGGGGCCAAAGTTTCAGCAAACACTCGCCAAACAAAAACAAGAAACAAATGACCGAAGAAGTTGCAACTGCGAACTGCAACAGGCGCATACATAAATAACGAAACATTTTCGCACACTTGCCGCAACTTTGCCGGGAAAATGTCACATTATGCGGAACAAGTGGACGCCTTGAACACGTTTCCGACGTGCCACAGCACCTTTCTCGCTGCTCCGGACTTTTCCCCCGAACTTTTTGGGTGTAAACATTACGGGAAGTCATACATTTCGTATTTGCGTAATTACCAGAGGTGGGATGGGGGATCTGGGGGATCTGGATGGGGGAATAAAATGCAAGCAAGCAAAATTCCTTAAAATAACTCAAGCTTTTTCCTAAATAAAAAGAGGTTTAATTGAAGCACAGACTTCTGCTTAATACTAATACCTATTTCCAATTCATACATTTTACACCCGTTACTCGTAGAGTAAAAGGATATACTTGATTCGTTGAAAAGAATTTAACAGCCAAAAGGAAGCGTACCATATAAAGTGTACATATTCCTCTTCTATTAATATATATAAACTCCGTAACTCAACATATCTTGATCGGATTTTAAAGTGGCATACCTCTAAATGTTTCTGGCGAAATTCTCTAAATATCTGCATTCAAATTTAGAAATCAATTTTTTTTCAATTTTTTTGTCATTTTTCTGATGTATGATATTGTAGTGATTCAAAAATATTGAGAAATGTCCCAAGTCTGAAGTTCTAAGCTCCATAACTCAACTTATCTTGATCGGATTTTGAAGTGGCATACCTCTAAATGTTTCTGGCGAAATTCTCTAAATATCTGCATTCAAATTTAGAAATCAATTTTTTTTCAATTTTTTTGTCATTTTTCTGATGTATGATATTGTAGTGATTCAAAAATATTGAGAAATGTCCCAAGTCTGAAGTTCTAAGCTCCATAACTCAACTTATCTTGATCGGATTTTGAAGTGGCATACCTCTAAATGTTTCTGGCGAAATTCTCTAAATATCTGCATTCAAATTTAGAAATCAATTTTTTTTTAATTTTTTTTTTAATTTTTCTGATTTGTAGAAAGTCAAAAAAATTGAGAAATGTTCCAAGTCTGAAGTTCTAAGCTCCATAACTCAACTTATCTTGATCGGATTTTGAAGTGGCATACCTCTAAATGTTTCTGGCGAAATTCTCTAAATATCTGCATTCAAATTTAGAAATCAATTTTTTTTCAATTTTTTTGTCATTTTTCTGATGTATGATATTGTAGTGATTCAAAAATATTGAGAAATGTCCCAAGTCTGAAGTTCTAAGCTCCATAACTCAACTTATCTTGATCGGATTTTGAAGTGGCATACCTCTAAATGTTTCTGGCGAAATTCTCTAAATATCTGCATTCAAATTTAGAAATCAATTTTTTTTTAATTTTTTTTTTAATTTTTCTGATTTGTAGAAAGTCAAAAAAATTGAGAAATGTCCCAAGTCTGAAGTTCTAAGCTCCATAACTCAACTTATCTTGATCGGATTTTGAAGTGGCATACCTCTAAATGTTTCTGGCGAAATTCTCTAAATATCTGCATTCAAATTTAGAAATCAATTTTTTTTCAATTTTTTTGTCATTTTTCTGATGTATGATATTGTAGTGATTCAAAAATATTGAGAAATGTCCCAAGTCTGAAGTTCTAAGCTCCATAACTCAACTTATCTTGATCGGATTTTGAAGTGGCATACCTCTAAATGTTTCTGGCGAAATTCTCTAAATATCTGCATTCAAATTTAGAAATCAATTTTTTTTCAATTTTTTTTTTAATTTTTCTGATTTGTAGAAAGTCAAAAAAATTGAGAAATGTCCCAAGGCTGAAGTTCTAAACTCCATAACTCAACTTATCTTGATCGGATTTTAAAGTGGCATACCTCTAAATGTTTGTGGCGCAATTTTCTAAATATCTGCATTCAAATTTAGAAATCAATTTTTTTCAATTTTTTTGTCATTTTTCTGATGTATGATATTGTAGTGATTCAAAAATATTGAGAAATGTCCCAAGTCTGAAGTTCTAAGCTCCATAACTCAACTTATCTTGGTCGGATTTTAAAGTGGCATACCTCTAAATGTTTCTGGCGAAATTCTCTAAATATCTGCATTCAAATTTAGAAATCAATTTTTTTTCAATTTTTTTGTCATTTTACTGATGTATGATATTGTAGTGATTCAAAAATATTGAGAAATGTCCCAAGTCTGAAGTTCTAAGCTCCATAACTCAACTTATCTTTATCGGATTTTGAAGTGGCATACCTCTAAATGTTTCTGGCGAAATTCTCTAAATATCTGCATTCAAATTTAGAAATACATTTTTTTTCAATTTTTTTGCCATTTTTCTGATGTATGATATTGTAATGATTCAAAAATATTGAGAAATGTCCCAAGTCTGAAGTTCTAAGCTCCATAACCCAACTTATCTTGATCGGATTTTGAAGTGGCATACCTCTAAATGTTTCTGGCGAAATTCTCTAAATATCTGCATTCAAATTTAGAAATACATTTTTTTTCAATTTTTTTGCCATTTTTCTGATGTATGATATTGTAATGATTCAAAAATATTGAGAAATGTCCCAAGTCTGAAGTTCTAAGCTCCATAACCCAACTTATCTTGATCGGATTTTGAAGTGGCATACCTCTAAATGTTTCTGGCGAAATTCTCTAAATATCTGCATTCAAATTTAGAAATAAATTTTTTTTCAATTTTTTTGCCATTTTTCTGATGTATGATATTGTAGTTATTCAAAAAAATTAAGAAATGCCCCAAGGCTGAAGTTCTAAACTCCATAACTCAACTTATCTTACTCGGATTTTGAAGTGGCATACCTCTAAATGTTTCTGGCGCAATTCTCTAAATATCTGCATTCAAATTTTGAAATCAATTTTTTTTCAATTTTTTTTTTAATTTTTCTGATTTGTAGAAAGTCAAAAAAATTGAGAAATGTCCCAAGGCTAAAGTTCTAAACTCCATAACTCAACTTATCTTTATCGGATTTTGAAGTGGCATACCTCTAAATGTTTCTGGCGAAATTCTCTAAATATCTGCATTCAAATTTAGAAATCAATTTTTTTTCAATTTTTTTGCCATTTTTCTGATGTATGATATTGTAATGATTCAAAAATATTGAGAAATGTCCCAAGTCTGAAGTTCTAAGCTCCATAACCCAACTTATCTTGATCGGATTTTGAAGTGGCATACCTCTAAATGTTTCTGGCGAAATTCTCTAAATATCTGCATTCAAATTTAGAAATAAATTTTTTTTCAATTTTTTTGCCATTTTTCTGATGTATGATATTGTAGTTATTCAAAAAAATTAAGAAATGCCCCAAGGCTGAAGTTCTAAACTCCATAACTCAACTTATCTTACTCGGATTTTGAAGTGGCATACCTCTAAATGTTTCTGGCGCAATTCTCTAAATATCTGCATTCAAATTTTGAAATCAATTTTTTTTCAATTTTTTTTTAATTTTTCTGATTTGTAGAAAGTCAAAAAAATTGAGAAATGTCCCAAGGCTAAAGTTCTAAACTCCATAACTCAACTTATCTTGATCGGATTTTAAAGTGGCATACCTCTAAATATTTCTGGCGCAATTCTCTAAATATCTGCATTCAAATTTAAAAATCAATTTTTTTTCAATTTTTTTGTCATTTTTCTGATGTATGATATTGTAGTGATTCAAAAATATTGAGAAATGTCCCAAGTCGGAAGTTCTAAGCTCCATAACTCAACTTATCTTGATCGGATTTTGAAGTGGCATACCTCTAAATGTTTCTGGCGAAATTCTCTAAATATCTGCATTCAAATTTAGAAATACATTTTTTTTCCATTTTTTTTTCCATTTTTCTGATGTATGATATTGTAATGATTCAAAAATATTGAGAAATGTCCCAAGTCTGAAGTTCTAAGCTCCATAACCCAACTTATCTTGATCGGATTTTGAAGTGGCATACCTCTAAATGTTTCTGGCGAAATTCTCTAAATATCTGCATTCAAATTTAGAAATCAATTTTTTTTCAATTTTTTTGTCATTTTTCTGATGTATGATATGTAGTGATTCAAAAAAATGTCCCAAGACTGAAGTTCTAACTCAACTTATCTTACTCGGATTTTGAAGTGGCATACCTCTAAATGTTTCTGGCGCAATTCTCTAAATATCTGCATTCAAATTTAGAAATCAATTTTTTTTCAATTTTTTTTTTAATTTTTCTGATTTGTAGAAAGTCAAAAAAATTGAGAAATGTCCCAAGTCTGAAGTTCTAAGCTCCATAACTCAACTTATCTTGATCGGATTTTGAAGTGGCATACCTCTAAATGTTTCTGGCGAAATTCTCTAAATATCTGCATTCAAATTTAGAAATCAATTTTTTTTCAATTTTTTTGCCATTTTTCTGATGTATGATATTGTAATGATTCAAAAATATTGAGAAATGTCCCAAGTCTGAAGTTCTAAGCTCCATAACTCAACTTATCTTGATCGGATTTTGAAGTGGCATACCTCTAAATGTTTCTGGCGAAATTCTCTAAATATCTGCATTCAAATTTAGAAATCAATTTTTTTTCAATTTTTTTGTCATTTTTCTGATGTATGATATTGTAGTGATTCAAAAATATTGAGAAATGTCCCAAGTCTGAAGTTCTAAGCTCCATAACTCAACTTATCTTGATCGGATTTTGAAGTGGCATACTTCTAAATGTTTCTGGCG